ACCTCAATGTGGACCAATTTAAAAACGGGGCCCAAAATCCAAAAACTTAATACACGGTTAGATTCAGCATATTAAAGAACCCCAAGAATTCAAGAATAAAACCCCATTGAAATTGATCAAGAAATAAGCAATTTATACGAAGTAATTTCTTTTGCACAACACTGTGCAATTGAATATTTCTTGCTATTGCGCAATACTGTACAATTGACAATTTCTTGCTATTGCGCAATATTGTGCTATTGGATATTTCTTGCTATTGCGCAATACTGTGCAATTGAAGATTTCTTGCTATTGCGCAATACTGTGCAATTGAAGATTTCTTGCTATTGTGCAATACTGTGCAATTGAAAATTTCTTGCTATTGCACAATACTTATTATATAATAATTTACACATCCTGTTTGGTGTGTATCTCCTACCATATCATTATTATTTGCTTTTAAATATAAATCAGAAATAATCAACTTAAAATGGAAAATTTTAAAAGAAAAAAAAAAGGAAAAAAAGAAAAAAAAAAAAAAAAAAAATCTCCCCCCCCAAATTTTTTGAACCCCCTTATGATTCATCACCCCCAAATTCAATCCCAGCCTTCCCTTTGTGGTATGGTACCTTGCAGTACAATTTCAGAGAGATCCATACACTTGAACACAAGTTATTGTCTGGAAACTAGAAAAATGCTTATTTTTGGCCCCTTTTTGGCCCCCAATTCCTAAACGTTTCGGGCAATTACCCCCAAACTCAATTCCAGCTTTCCCTTTGTGATATGGAACCTTGTAGTACAATTTCAGAAATATCCAAACACTTACACACAAGTTATTGTCATGAAACTAGAAAAATGCTTGTTTTTTGCCCCTTTTTTGGCCCCTAATTCCTAAAATTTTGAGGCAATTACCCCCAAAATCAATTACAGCCTTCCCTTTGTGATATGGAACCTTGTGGTACAATGTCAGAGAGATCTATACACTTACACACAAGTTATTGTCTGAAAATTACAAAAATGCTTATTTTTGGCCCCTTTTTGGCCCCTAATTCCTTAACTGTTGGTACCATAACCCCCAAAATCAATCCCAACCTTCCTTTCGTGGTATTTAACCTTATGGTGAAATTTCATGGAGATCCATTCACTTAAACTAAAGTTAGAGTGCGAAAACCAATGTGTCTTCGGACGACGCCAGACGACGACGACGACGACGACGACGACGACGACGACGACGACGACGCCAACGTCATACCAATATACGACCAAAAAATTTTTAATTTTTGCGGTCGTATAAAAATGCTTATTTTAAACCCCTTTTTAGGCCCCTTATTACTAAACGTTTTGGGCAATTACCACAACACTCAATTCCAGCTTTCCCTTTGTGAAATGGAACCTTGTAGTAAAATTTCAGAAAGATCCATACACTTACACACAAGTTATTGTCATGAAACTAGAATAAAATGCTTCGCTGGGGCGCAGCTTGATACGACCGCAGAGGTCGAACCCTGAACAGTTGGGGCAAGTATGGACACAACATTCAAGCTTGATACAGCTCTGAATTTGGATTGTTATTAAATATTTGACACAGCATAGGTTTCTGACACAGAAAGAATGTGGTCTAAGAACTTGAATTTTTTTAATTTACCTATTATGGTCCAATGTCCAAAATCAAAATACATGGTTAGATTCAGCATATCAAAGAACCCCATATATTCAATTTTTGTTAAAATCAAACAAAGTTTAATTTTGGACCCCAACTTGGACAAACTTGAAAACTGGGCCCATAATCAAAAATCTAAACACATGTTTAGATTCAGCATATCAAAGAACCCCAATTCAATTTTTGCTAAAATCAAACTAAGTTTAATTTTGGACCCTTTGGACCTTAATGTAGACCAATTTAAAAAACGGGACTTAAAATTAAAAATCTAAATACACGGTTAGATTTGGAATATCAAAGAACCCCAATAATTCAATTTTTGATGAAATCAAACAAAGTTTAATTTTGGACCCTTTTGACCTCAATATGAACCAATTTGATAGCGGGGCCCACAAATAAAAAATCTAAATACATGGTTAGATTCAGCATATCAAAGAACCCCATATATTCAATTTTTGTTGAAATCAAAAAAAGTTTAATTTTGGACCCCAACTTGGACAAACTTGAAAACTGGGCCCATAATCAAAAATCTAAACACATGTTTAGATTCAGCATATCAAAGAACCCCAAGAATTCAATTTTTGTTAAAATCAAACTAAGTTTAATTTTGGACCCTTTGCACCTCAATGAAGACCAATTTAAAAAACAGGACCCAAATTAAAAATCTAAAAACACGGTTAGATTTGGCATATCAAAGAACCCCAATAATTCAATTTTCGATGAAATCAAACAAAGTTTAATTTTGGACCCTTTTGACCTCAATATGAACCAATTTGATAGCGGGGCCTATAAATAAAAAATCTAAATACATGGTTAGATTCAGCATATCAAAGAACCTCATATATTCAATCTTTGTTGAAATCAAACAAAGTTTAATTTTGGACCCCAATTTGGACCAACTTGAAAACTGGGCCCATAATCAAAAATCTAAATACATGTTTAGATTCAGCATATCAAAGAACCCCATATATTCAATTTTTGTTGAAATCAAACAAAGTTTAAATACTGGACCCTATCTTGGACCAACTTGAAAACTGGGCCCATAATCAAAAATCTAAACACGTTTAGATTCAGCAAATCAAAGAACCCCAAGAATTCAATTTTTGTCAAAATCAAACTAAGTTTAATTTTGGACCCTTTGGACCTCAATGTAGACCAATTTAAAAAACAGGACCCAAATTTAAAAACCTAAATACACGGTTAGATTTGGAATATCAAAGAACCCCAATAATTCAATTTTAGATGAAATCAAACAAAGTTTAATTTTGGACCCTTTTGACCTCAATATGAACCAATTAGATAACGGGGTCCACAAATAAAAAATCTAAATACATGGTTAGATTCAGCATATCAAAGAACCCCATATATTCAATTTTTGTTGAAATCAAACAAAGTTTAATTTTGGACCCCAATTTGGACCAACTTGAAAACTGGGCCAAAAATCAAAAATCTAAATACATGGTTAGATTCAGCATATCAAAGAACCTCATATATTCAATTTTTGCTAAAATCAAACAAAGTTTAATTTTGGACCCTTTGGACATTAATGTAGACCAATTTGAAAACTGGACCCAAAATTAAAAATCTAAATACACTGTTAGATTCGGCATAACAAATAAATAAATGTGATCAAAGATTTTACAAATCTAATGCGCCATACTGTGCAATTAAAGATTACTTCTTGAAATTTTTCAATATTTGAAATTTGAAAAAAAAATAATATTTGAAGAATAATTCTTTTTAATTTCTGAAATCTGAAATGAGAAAAAATTGGCCCCCCCACAATTTCTTTTTATCCCCCCCCCCCTTTTTCCCCCCAAAAAATTCTTTCCCTCAAGATATGGTCATAATCTCAATTCAAATTTCCAATGGAGTTGGCAACCATAATTACCCATTTAAATTTACCATAGTGCTAACTTAATCTATTTTATAATAGAATTAATAAAAATATAGTGTCTAATCTTTCATATGGATTTTTTTGTAAAAAAAAAAGATGAAAACATTTGCAGATATTTTTACTGGTCTTCCTTTATAAATATGCATTTCTTTAAACATAATTTAAAAGCAGTGTAAGGGAAGTAACCAAAACGTTATATTTGGATTACCTCCCTTACACTGTTTTAGATTATCTTTATTGTTCATTAACCATTACTTTATACATAATTTAAAAGCAGTGTAAGGGAGATAATTTCAATGATGTATTTGATTTATCTCCCTTACACTGCTTTAAATTATGTTTTGTACTAAAGTATTTGTCCATTAACCAGGACAACCTTGTTTTTCCCCCTTTTTTGCCCCTAATTCCTAAACGGTTTGAGCCATAACCCCCCAAAGCAAATCCTAACCATCCCTTTGTGGTATGGAAACTTGTAGTATAATTTCAGAGAGATCCATACACCGTTCCACAGTTATTGTCTGGAAACTAGAAAATGCTCATTTTTGGCCCCTTTTTGGCCCCTAATTCCTTAACTGTTGGTACCATAACCCCCAAAATCAATCCCAACCTTCCTTTTGTGGTATTTAACCTTATTGTCAAATTTCAAAAAGATCCATTCACTTAAACTAAAGTTAGAGTGCGAAAACCAATATGTATTCGGACGACGACGCCGACGACGCCAACGTCATACCAATATACGACCACAAAATTTTTTTGCGGTCGTATAAAAATGCTTGTTTTTTGCCCCCTTTTGGCCCCTTATTCCTAAAATTTTGAGGCAATTAACCCCAAAATCAATCCCAGCATTGACCCTTTGTGATATGGAATCTTGTGGTACAATGTCAAAGAGATCCATATGCTAACACACAAGTTATGTCTGGAAGTTACAAAAATGCTTATTTTCGGCCCCTTTATGGCCCCTAATTCCTTAACTGTTGGTACCATAACCCCCAAAATCAATCCCCACCTTCCTATTGTGGTATTGAACCTTATGGTAAAATTTCATAGAGATCCATTCACTAAAACTAAAGTTAGAGTGCGAAAACCATTGTGTATTCGGACGACGACGACGCCAACGTCATACCAATATACGACCTCAAAATTTTTTTGCGGTCATATAAAAATAAATCTGTAAAAATCCTCGTGTTTCCCTAATTCCTCCTGAAAACCAGAATGTCTTCTAATGCTGTCAAATATATAACATGAAAAGCATTATTATGACCACTCACTTCTCCCTGTTTGATTGCCAGGAAGATGGTGACCCCTGCACTTTGTCACAAATAAGGTACTTTATTCAATTAACAGATTATTTCAAAGATTTTCTTTAAAGGTATTACATGTACCATATTTCTGAATTGCAGGTTGAGTTTTTTTTTTAAATATATTTCAATTCAAAACTTTGTATGTTTTTCTTTTAACACTTACCAATAAAAGAACATCAACATTTAACAAATAAATACATGGCAGCACAACCAACATAACAACAACAGTCTGAAATTAGAAAAATATTGCTTTCCTTTTAAACTGCATTAATTGTAATTTGTATTACCGTCTTTTGGTATGTATAGTGCGCACATTTATACCCTGGGTCATGTTTCTTGTAAGAGGGGGGCGCATTATATATGCCTACAAACATTTCTTAGCCTTTTTTCAGGTCCGAACTCCCGACAAAGAAAAAAACAGGTGAAGTGAAGAGTACGGAATTTTTCGCTAATTCCTCGACTTTTATTATGTTTTACATGTTATATTTGTAATATGTATCTTATTGTACTTGATATGTCATTTTTATTCAAATAAAATACATTTTATATCTCTGTAGTTATGTTCGTTTATCGTGTAAATTTGTCCATCTGTTTGCAATCCCGAAGTTTGCCATGTCTTAATAAAGACACCATGAAGCTTTTGTTGTCGGTTAATCTAGGCTCTGTGTTTCTTGTGGTCATAACTTACTGTTTTGTATGTGTTCATCATGGAGAGTAGAAGATAAGTGTATGAAAATTGAATAAACCATGCTCGTTTTGAAAGGATAAACCGCCATTTTTTTTTTAATGTATCAGGTGATCGCCAGTCAAGTGACTTAATATTGTAAAGTGATGATTTAGTCTATGAGAAGTTTTTTTTTTATAAATACGTTTCTACTTTGTAATTTTTAAACAGTAACAACTGTTTAAAACCGTTCCAAGAAATTATGATTGAAAACATGATTATCCCATTATTGTAACCTGAACGAATTTAATTAGGAACAAGGTGAACCTGTCATTGATTGTTTTGACATCGATTAGACCCATTGATTGAGGTGTGATAATCCGGATTAACAGCTAGAATCAACAAACAACAAATAAAAATTATGAGATTTTAACAATTTATTTCAGCACTAATTCATAACATAAAATTAAATAATACAAGATAATACAATTCCGTATTAATTACGTATTCCGTACGGAATTCACCGACATCGGTGACCATTTAAAAAACTTCCAGTTTAGACTTCCTGTTTGCCAACAAACGACAAACATTAACTTGTGGGTTATAAAAAGAAGATAACTATTAAAATTCTTTATTCAACTACAATAAATACTTTCGGTGATATTAATCATGACTTCTCATTAATTCCTTGCCGATAAAAATCACGCTCAAGCATCATTTTACCGATTTTGGAGCTGTGACTTTCCGGAAAATGTCTGTGTATTATACGAAGAAAAAACTTTTTTTCTCAAATTTCTTGGACCATACAGGGGTGCGCACAATACACAAATGCGCACTATGCATACCAAAAGATGGTAAGCAATGTACAATTTAGGCAATATTTGGAATTTGGCATTATCATTAGTGATTCTGCCAGCGCTCGTCATTTCATTAATTTAAATAAACTGCTTCGTCCAACCATGAACAGTTTGGGCAAAGATGGGCAAAGATGGACACAATATTCAAGCTTGATACAGGTCTGAATTTGGATTTTAATTAAATATTTGACACATTATAGGTTTCTGACACAGAATAAATGCAGTCAAAGAACTTGAAATTGGTTATATGATTTGAATTTATATTCAATTGAAGATTTCTTGCTGTTGTGCAATACACTGTGCTGTTGCGCAATACTTGGTAAATCTGTTTTCAGACTATATACAAAGAATTAGCAAAATAAATTGTGACCCCCAATTTTATTTTGGGAAAATTATTAATTTCTTAAATGTTGAGGGGGAAAAAAATTGACCCTCCCCCCCCCCCCCCCCTCCCAATTTTCAAATCAATATCTTCATGCACGACGAAAAAAGTGCCGAAAACTGATTATTTGAGTGATTTTTTCTAAGTCTAAGGACCATCTCTCTGCACAAAATCATCAGACCAAAACCAAATTCAAACCTGAACTGTAACTTGTCATGATAAAACTATATACCAATTATCAAATCAATATCTTCAAGAATGACAAAAAAAGTGCGGAAAATTGATTATTTGAGTGAATTTTCTAAGTTAAAGGACCATTACTCTGCTCAAAATCATCAGACCGGACCAAATTTGAAGTTGATCTGTAACTTGTCATGATAAAACAATACACCAAATATCAAATCTATATCTTCAAGCATGTTGAACAAGAATATGTCCATAGTACACGGATGCCCCACTTGCACTATCATTTTCTATGTTAAGTGGACCGTGAAATTGGGGTCAAAACTCTAATTTGGCATTAAAATTAGAGAGATCATATCACAGGGAACATGTGTACTAAGTTTCAAGTTGATTGGACTTCTTCATCAAAAACTACCTTGACCAAAAACTTTAACCTGAAGTGGGACAGACTGACGGACGAACAAACGGATGCATAGACCGAAAAACATATAACCCCTAGGTGGGGAATAAAAAAAGTGTGGAAAACTGATTTGCTGGACTGACGGATGGACAGACAGATGGATGGAGTGCAAACCTAAAGTCTCCTTCGACTTCATCGGTAGGGGACCATAAATGGAGAATGTCTCTAAGGGCCACAGATGCCCCCCCCCCCCGCTTGCAAATATGCGAGTCAACTTCCACATACAGATGCAGATTCATGAAGTTAAGACCATTTTGTGATTATAAGCACAGTGTATTAGTTTCGTTACATTTGGTGAGGTAAACTAAAGTTAGAGAACGGAAATGAAAAATTCAGCAATTTTTTGTTTATAAAGGGCATAACTCATGAATGGTAAAAGTGACATCACCCAATTTCGAACTTGATCTGTGTTTTGTGGTTATAAAGCATTGTGTATAAGTTTAATAACATTTGGTTGAGGCAAACTAAAGTTATAGAACGGAAACCAATTTTGGGGACATACACGACGGACGGACAAGGGTAACACTTAATGCCCCCGACGCCTAGTGGCGGGGGGCATAAAAAGTCAAAAGTATCATCATTTTCGTCCTTGAAATTTCAAAAGTTAAATATTTTGTTTGTACAAAACCTTCAATTTTAGACCAAGCTAATAAACAGTCACAACAGGTGCTATAATTTGTAGGTAGGTCTTTAATCCTAATAAACTAAATTTATTTAAATAGAATCTGTCATTAAGCAATAGGATTTAAATATATTTTTCTGAAAAAAAATTATACATGTGTAGAAGTGAATAAACTGGTGTCATTTTGTACTCAGAAGTGTCCACGGACAGAAGACATAACACATATTATTTTAACAGATTTGTAGTAAAACAGTGTTTTCTAATGAGTTCATACAGATAAATTAATTATCATCATCATGAAACTACAGTAAACCTTTAAAATTTTGTTTCTGAAAAACATATTTAAATTAAATTGTAAGCTTCCAGATCTGCAAGTAAGAGCCCTTCCAAATATAAAATTTGTTTGTTCTAAAAAAAGAGAATTCATGTTTCCTCTAGTACTAATATGTATTTTTTCATAAAAAATGTCAAACTTAAATTTACCGGACACTAAAATAATTGTGAATAAATTTTACAGAAACAAATGTTCAATACACCATCTTTAAGTATTGATAAACAGGAAGTTGATAAAGAATGCGAAAATGCATCATCTGTATAGCCTGCTCACATGAATCCGAAGACCAAATTTCAGAAAGCTGTGATTTGTAGTTCCTGTAGATAATTTGCAGACTGTGGATGGACAGACATGGGTAAAAGTGTTACAGTGAAACTAACGCAAATCTGCCATAAGCACCCAATTTTCACAATAATGAATAAATTGCTTCGCCGAGCGCAGCTGGATACGACCAAAGAGGTCCAACCCTGAACAGTTGGGGCAAAAATGGACACAATATTCGAGCTTGATACAGGTCTGAATTTGGATTGTAATTAAATATTTGACACATAATAGGTTTCTGACACAGAATAACTGTAGGCAAAGAACTTAGAATTGGTTATATGATATTCAATTTTTTGCTTTTGTGCAATACACTATGCTGTTGCAAATTGACCTCCCCCCCCCCTTTTAAAAAAAATTAAAAAAATTTGAAGGATTTTCTTTTTCATTTCTGAAATCTTGAGAAAAAATTTCCAATGGAGTTTACAACCATAATAACCCATTTAAATACATCATAAAAGTCTTAAAATAGAAAATGACATACATAATCATAGCTAAAATTAATTTACCTTAATCAGCCTTTTTTAAATTATTAAAATAGTAACTTCTAACTAGAGGCTCTCAAGAGCCTGTGTCGCTCACCTGTATTTACTGATGCTTTGGAAATCATGTAAAATAAGGTTAAAATCATAATTAATAGTATTAGATATTAGATATTATAATGATATCTAAGATAATAACAAAAAAATGCAAAATTTTTGTAAAATTACTAACTCAGGGGCAGCAACCCGGCAACTGGTTGTCGGATTCGTCTAAAAATTTTCAGGGCAGATAAATCTAAATCTGATGAACATATTTGCCACCTGTCAGATTTGCTCTAAATGCTTTAGTTTCAGAGATATAAACCAAAAACTGCATTTTACCCCTATGTTCTATTTTTAACCAAGTTGGCCATGATGGTTGGAAAGCGGGGTCATCGGACAAATTTTTTAAACTAGATACCCTAATAATGATTATGGCCAAGTATGGTTAAATTTGTCTCAGTAGTTTCAGAGAAGAAGATTTTTGTAAAAGATTACAAAAATTTGTTAAAAATAGACTATTAAGGGCAATAACTCCTAAAGGAGTCGACTGACAATTTTGGTCATGACAACTTATTTGTAGATCTTACTTTGCTGAACATTATTGCTGTTTACAGTTTATCTCTATCTATAATAATATTCAAGATAATAACCAAAAAACTGCAAAATTTCCTTAAAATAACCAATTCCGGGGCAGCAACCCAACAACAGGTTGTCAGATTTGTCTGAAAATTTCAGGGCATATAGATCTTGACCTGATAATCAGTTTAACCCTATGTCAGATGTACTCTAAATGCTTTGGTTTCAGAGATATAAGCCAAAATCTACATTTTACCCCTATGTTCTATTTTTAGCCATGGCGGCCATCTTGGTTAGTTGGCGGGGTCATCGGACACATTTTTTAAACAAGATACCCTAATGATGATTGTGGCCAAGTTTGGTTAAATTTGGCCCAGTGGTTTCAGAGGAGAAGATTTTTGTAAAAAGCTAACCACGACGGACGTCAAGTGATGAGAAAAGCTCACTTGGCCCTTCGGCCAAGTGAGCTAAAAAGAAATTGACAGCTAATCACCTCAAGACAATACAAAAATTCTTTATACATAATTTAACAGCAGTGTAGGGTAGGAAATTCAAAGTTGTGTTTGAATTACCTCCCATACACTGTAATTTGTACTTAAGTAATTGTCCATTAACCAGGACACCCTTGTTTTTTCTCTTTTTTTGCTCCTAATTCCTAAACGGTTTGAGCCATAACCCCCCAAAGCCAATCCCAGCCTTCCTTTTGTGGTTATAAACCGTTTGTTTAAATTTCATAGATTTCTATTTATTAGTACTGAAGTTATTGTCTGGAAACCAAATGTCTTCGAACGAAGACAACAAATTGATACCATTTTTGCGGTCGTATAAAACCAAAAGCCATAAATATTGAAGAATACAAATTCCTTCAGTACACTTCTCACTTACTTTGGATTAAAAGCAGATCAGGCAGTGAGTTTGTTTTTGGTCAATATTAATGATGTGGAACTCCTGCAAAGAGAAAAGGGCATTCAATAATATAAATGAAATGCAAAAACACAACACTGTACAACTACACTTGTAAGAAGTAAATGCATTATAAATATTTATAAGGCTTTTAGTAAAGTAGCCTGTCCTTCAGTTTATAAATAAGTTTTAGTATAATTTCAATAAAACTGACCTTGCATAATATTCTTTGATCAGAAAAATATGAAGTTTAAAAAAATCTTTTTGTCAAGACCATCTTCCCAACACAGCCAATGGTGTAATATCCTACAAATATTTTCCCGACATATTTTGAAAATTCAGGAAATATTTGATACACATTTTCTTATGTAATACAAATAATTTATTTTTAATTTGCTTTATGTATTTTCTTTGAGAAATAAACCAAACCCATAATAACATATCAGCTTCTCTCTGATATGAAAAAATATTTAAATATCTATGTACCATGAGCGACTTTCTTTGAACAAACAATGAAGAAAATTAGTGATTGGTGTGTTTTAGGTGAATAGCTAACACAGACACACTTTGAAGATGATGAAAGTGACATGACAATTAATTATGGTAGAACATGTCTATACAAGTCGAACTGTGAGATACTGCTTACTAATGATACCCCTCCTGTAAACATTAGGTAAACATTAAGTTGATGAGCATTGGATGTGAATACACACAAAATATCATGCTCACAAGAAGCTAGATACCAAATTTCAAGACTCTGTGATTCAGTTCCCCAAGAAAAAATGAACAAATTTCATACATGAACGTCGTGTGTAAGAATATATATATGTATTGAAGAGGAAGTTGAGTTGATGAACGCTTAATATAGCATGATCACATGAAACTTGATATCAAATTTCATGAAGCTGTGATTTTTAATTCTGAATTATTTAATACATGGCCATGAACAGTATGTAAATAAATAATATCATATTCATAATGATTTTTAAACATCACACCTGTATCAACCCAATACACCAATATATTGATTGGTTGATATGGCCAGTGTGCTAGTGTGTGATATTGAATAAACTGCTTCGCTGAGCGCAGCTGGATACGCCCGCAGAGGTCCAACCCTGAACAGTTGGGGCAAAAATGGACACAATATTCAAGCTTCATACAGGTCTGAATTTGGATTGTAATTAAATATTTGACATATTATAGGTTTCTGAATAAATGTAGTCAAAGAACTTGAAATTGGTATGAATTGAATTCATATTCAATTAAAGATTTCTTGCTGTTGTGCAATACACTGTGCTGTTGCGCAATACTTAGTAAATCTGTTGTCAGACTATAAACAAATAAAGTTCAATTAATTCTCAGTCATATTAGAAATTTATGAAAATGTAAAGGGAGCTTACATCAATAGATATTAACAATTCACCAAAGTTTCATGAGAATTGCTGACAGTATTTTTGAGTTATTGTCCGAAAACTGGAAAATCCCCCCTTTTTTAATGAATAAAACCCCATAACTCAGAAATGAAAAATGAAAAATTTATAAAATTCTAAACGGAGCTTACATCAATAGATAACAACAATTCACCAAAGTTTCATAAGAACAGCTGAAAGCATTTATGATTTTTTGTCCGAAAACTGGGAAATCCCCCTTTTTTTATGAATAAAACCATGTAACTCGGAAACGTAAAATCTAAAATATATAAAAATCGAAAGGAGCTCATGTCAATTGATATAAACAATTCACCACAATTTCTTGGTAGTTGGTGAAAGCATTCTTGAGTTATTGTCCGAAAACTGGAAAATCCCCCTTTTTTTAATGAATAAAACCCCACAACTCAGAAATGTAAAATCTAAAATTAACAAGCATTCTGAGAGTATTGCATGGCAATACATTGTCCCCTACCGGGTAAAAATTCATTATACTGGAACAAAATGCTAACTTGTTATATAACTTGCCATGGTGTAAACAAAAAGTAAAATATCATGTAAATATCTTCAAGCATGACTAAAAACAGTGTGGAAAACTGATTATATGAGTGAATTTTTCAAGTCCAAGGACCATAACTCTGCACAAAATTATTAGACCGAAACAAAAATTTTCACTTGACCTGTGACGTGTCATGATAAAACTCTATACCAATTATCAATCAATATCGTATAAGCATGATGAAGAAATCATTAGATATGATTAATAGTTCTCTAAAATTAGATATGATGTAATACAGTGTATATCTATTTTCAAATTATAATCAAATATAATTAATAGTTCCAAAATATTTTTTCTTTCATTTGTCACAAACTAATGTAGATTTGTAACTTATCTATAAAATATCAACAACTTTTATCTACACAATGTTATTTATTGAAATATATACATAATAAAAATAGATTATTATCTTATTAAAGGATTTCCCTTCATAATTTTTTTTATATATATATAGCATTCAGAAAATTAGTTTATACTAAATAACTGACAAACCTGCCAAAAAATTCTTCAAATAATTAAACCACTAATGTCTTTTAAAAAATTAGTTACATGTATCTCCCTTTGTACAGAAATATGGTTTAACATAGTACTCTAACATTAGATATGGTCCATAACTCTGGATTTAATCATCAGACCGGAACAAAATTTGAACTTGATCTATAACTTGTCATGATAAAAACTATATACCAAATATCAAATCAATATCTTCAAGAACGAAGAAAAAAAGTGTGGAAAGCTGATTTGCCGGACTGACAGATGAACAGACAGACAGACAGACAGACGGAGTGCAAACCTTAAGTCCCCTTCGACTTCGTCAGTAGGGGACTAATAAAAAACGAAAGGGAGCTTACAGCAATAGATATAAATAATTCACCAAAGTTTTATGCAAATTGGTTAAAGCGTTTTTGAGTTAATTTCCGACATGTTGACGACGGACGGACGGACAGAGGTATACCATAATACGTCCTGTAAACGGGCATATAAAAACCATATTGTACAATTTATTATATACCCCTAGTTCGATGTTTTTCATGTTACATGATGTGATACAAATAAGGGGATTGGTAAAGTCTTTGCAACCATGATTGATATTGATTTTATGATATCAGACTGACAGAAATTCTACTGGACTAAAAGAATCTATAAAATATTTTCAAGAAAGAAAATTAGCATCAGTCCTGTGGCAGCAAAATTTTATTGTGAAATCTAGCCCTTTCGGTTATATATCACTTTTCATTTTTGAAAGCTACTTCTTACTTCAAGCCAAGTGGCCATTTAATTATAGATAAATGGGGAGATGATGGCTTAACTTGCATAACATTATAAAGGGAAATAACTTAAGAACAGTAAAAATGACACTTCCCAAATTTGTACTTGATCTGAGTTTTGTTGTAATAAGCATTGTGTATATGTTTCGCAACATTTGGTTGAGGCAAACTTAAGTTACAGAATGGAAACAACTTCAGCAATTTTCCCATTTTTAAAGGAGCATAACTCTAGAACGGTAAAAGCAATGCCACCCAAATTCAATGATCTGCGTTTTGTGATAATAAGCATCTTGTGTAAGTTTCATCACATACGTACATACAGACAGACAAGGGTAACACTTAATGCCCCCTCTGCTGCAGCGAGAAAGAATTCCTTAAACAATGTCAGGATTTACTGTCTCTGAGTACCAATTAATTTTCTGTGCATTCTGATGAAGGTATTTTTCCTTCTGAAGAGTAGGAATCTAACCAAGGATTTTTTAAAGTTGAGTTCAAGGACTCGTCTTTTTTGGTCAAGGAGAGTCCAATGGTAAGTAGATATTCTATGGCATTATAATTTTATTATTTAGGTCTCCATTATTAATAAATGGGGAATGTGTCCCCATGGACACAGATGATGCCCCCACTTACATACAACGTTATAAAGGGACATAACTCAAGAATGGTAAAAGTGATGCAACCCAAATTTGTACTTGATCCGAGTTTTCTGATAATAAGCATTGAGTATAAGTTTCCTAACATTTGGTTGAGGCAAACTTAAGAGAACAGAAACGATAAATTCAGCAATTTTTCTATTTGTAAAGGGGCATAACTCTAGAACGGTAGACGTGACGCCACCGAATTTCCAAACTCGATCTGTGTTTTGTGGTAATAAGCAATTTGTATAAGTTTCATAACATTTGGTTGAGGCAAACTAAAGTAAGAGAACCGGAAAAGAAAAATTAAGCAATTTTTCCATTTGTAAAGGGGCATAACTCTAGAACAGTGGACGTTATGCCACCAAAATTCAAACTCCATCTGTTTTGTGGTAATAAGCATTGTGTATAAGTTTCATAACATTTGGTTGAGGCAAACTAAAGTTAGAGAAAGAAAACGAAAATTTCAGCAATTTTTCCATTTGTAAAGGAGCATAACTCTAGAATGGTTAAAGTGACGCCACCAAAATTTGAACTTGATCTTGTGTTTTATGGTAATAAGAATTGTGTATAAGTTTCATAACATTTGGTTGAGGTAAACTAAGGTTACAGAACAGAAACGAAAAAATTCAGCAATTTTTCCATTTGTAAAAAGGGCATAACTCTAGAATGGTAAAAGTCACCAAAATTCAAACTTGATCTGTGTTTTGTGGATATTAACATTGTGTATAATATTCATATCATTTAGTTGAGGCAAACTAAAGTAAGAGAACGTAAACCAATTTTGCGACGTACGTACAGAAGGACAAGGGTAAAACTTAATGCCCCCTCCGTTATGGCTTGGGCATAAAAAAAGGAAGGAAATGACATCCAGATAGGTCAAGCCAAAGGCTCATGGACTCGCCTTAGTGAAAACCTGTTGAGAGCCTATTTGGTTTTCTTTCTGCTCTGAATTTGGTGAAGGGTTTAATTTCACTAACCCTTTGGTCAACCATGATAGTTGAACTAATATAACAACATATTTTTGCCTTTTTTTTACCTCTGTTTTCATCAATTGCTTGTGACTACTGCTAAATCCCAGAGAAACAAAATAAATGATGTAATTGATAAGGTGATTGTCTTACCCCAATGTGAAAGAACCTGAGGAAATTAATAT